AAAAAAAAAAAAAAAAAAAAAAATCAGTTCTAAAGTTGGGTTAAACATGGTGGACTGACCACACACTTATTTCCTCTCTCTCCTGAAACCTCATTAGAATTAAAGGCATAAAATATAAAGACCAGGAGACAAGATTGACAGCAGATGACTTTTAATAAATGTTAAAAGGCCAGGCACAGTTGCTCAAGGCTGTAATGCCAGCACTTTGGGAGGCCGAGGCAAGGAGGACTGCCTGAGCCCAGGGGTTCGAGACCGGCCCGGGCAACTTGGGGAGAACCTGTCTCTACAATAAATCAAAAATTTAGTGGGGGTAGTGGCTCACGCCTGTAGTTCCGGCTACTCGGAAGGCTGAGGCAGAAGGATCACCGGAGCCCAGCAGGTCAACGCTGCGGTGGCTGTGAGCGTGCCACTGCACTCCCGCCTGGGGACAGAGTGAGACCCTGACTCAAAGAACCGTTGCAAGATGAAAAGCAGGCAACAGAGGATCACTGGCAGGGAAGCACAGCGCTGCTGCCATGGAGAGCGACCAGAGCAGGAGCAAGCCGGCGCCTCCCGCGGGACCCAAGGCAGGGATGGAATCGGGCTCCTCGAACGGCAGCGTGAGACAGAGGCCATCAGCCAGCCGGAAGCCGTGGTGAGAGCCCAGGCCCACCTGTTCTCCCACCTTGTGAGGAACTTAGATGCATAATCTCTGGCGGTATTCACAGTGAGGGTTTCTGAGCTGAGACACCAGGGCTACCACCTGGGAAGTGGGAATAAACGTACGCTGCACAGGGGAACACCACCTCCTTTCCCAACCCTGCTGCTAGAAAGCAAGTAGTCATGCTTCCACCCTCCAGGAAGAAAACAAGGTGATCCAGAGAAAAGAACCCAGATGAGACAGCCTTGAATTAGCTGGCTTGGACTCCAGATCCTCCCAGTGAGACCCGTGTGTTAAACGTCCTGCTCATGCGTGGTGCCTCCAATTTAGTGAAAGCCAGAGACCACCACACATTTGAGGGAAGCCTCCAACAAGAGAGAGCCAAACAACAGGGAAAAGGAATTCATGGGAGTGGTAAAAATTCAGAAGCAAATGAAAACTTAAAATGTAACTCTTGGGGCCGGGCTCAGTGGCTCAGCCTGTAATCCCGTGCCTTGGGAGGCCGAGGTGAGTGAACTGCCTGAGCCCGCAGGTTCGAGACCACCTGGGCAACTTGGTGAGACCTCATCTCTACAATAAATCAAAAAATTAGCCGGGCGTGGTAGCGCACGCCTGTAGTTCCAGCTACCTGGAAGGCTGAGTAGAAGGATCGCCGGAGCCCAGCAGGCGAGGCTGCGGTGGCCGGGGGCGGCCACTGCACTCCAGTCTGGGCGACGGAGTGAGAAGCCGACTCAAAAAAAAAGTAACTCTTGGCCCAGTGTGATGTCTCCCACCTGTAATCACTTTGGGGGGCTGAGGCAGGAGGACTGTTTGAGGCAAGCAGTTTCAGACCAGCCTGGGTAGCAGAGCCAGACTCCATCCCTAGAAAAAAAGCTTTTTCCTTTTTCTTTTTTTAAACTCTCAAGAGCCCAAATACAGCAGTATTTGTCGGCTATTGCCACACATGCCCCCCTTGTGGCCCAAGACCAGTTCCTATTTCCTGGGGAGAAAGAAGCAGTTTCAAGGAGAATTAGTTCCACTTGGTTTGAACCTGTTTGAAACCTGCCCACATGCTATATACCACCGACTACCACACCGTAGTGTTGCTTTTTCTCCTCTTATGAGCACCAAGACTAGTTTTCAGATCTGATGGGACAGGGAATGGAGAGTTCTACCAAAAAATGTTTAAAATGAACACAGTGTAGTGGTGATTGCTTACAATCCCACCTACTGGGGAGGCTAGGGTGGGAGAGTCACTGAGCCCAGGAGTTTGAGGCTGCAGTGAGCTATGATCATGCCATGCACTCCAGCCTGGGCAAAAGGGCGAGACCCTGTCTCTAAAAATAAAAATAAAATAATTATTAAAACAGCCTTGTGGCCAGGCATGGTGGCTCATGTCTGTAATCCCAGCACATAGGGGGCCAAGGTAGGGGAGAGCAAAAACCACCCTCAAAAAGGTGAAAAACGAAGTGAAAGGGTTAGCACATAAAGCCAAAGAGTCTCCAAGAAGCAGAATGAAGAGACAAACTGGGAAATAGTAGAGGAGGAGAAGCAAAGACCACTACAGAAGTACCGTCCTAAGAAGAGGATGAGCACATGAGTAAGAAGAACATCAAAAAAGGGAAGAAACAGAAAACAGCAGAGAAGCAAGAACAACCTCTGGAAGAGCTCCTGTGCATAGTGACTCGGCAAGGTGAAGAGGACCCCAGCCATGCTACGGCACTTCTGAACTGCAGGGACGGGAAGGCCCGACAGCCTCCTGAGAAGGGAGGGCAAAAAACGGCAACCCTGACTCACAGCAACCCCCACGACCGCAGCAGGCTCAGGAAGCACAGTGATGAGACACGATACCGAGATGTCTTCAGAACCGTGGAACTTTGTTTCAGCCTGGGATCTTACGTGCTACCACACAGGCGGGTTTCAGACAGACTTGAGCTCTAAAAATGTCTGTCACGTGTCTGCTCCCAGGACAAGGAGGAAGTGCAGATAGACAGAGGGAACAGGGAATCCGGGAGAGGGTCCAACCCGAGGCGGCAGCTATTGAGATCCCAGACGATGCCAGAGAGGTCCCAGGACACCCCGTCTCTGTAGGAGCAGGACGACGCAAGGCCGAGAAAGCTGTCGCCAAGAAAAAACGGAACAGATGTGTTTCCACAGATGGAACACGTTTCTGATAGGCGGGTGACAAATGCTGTAATAGCTGGGGGAACGCAGAAAACAGGCAAGTGAATACAGCCAGGAAACGACTCCACTGAGAAAGAAGGACATGAAAGCGAGGAGACCAGCCAGGGGTTACTAACTAACTGCAATTGGCCACGTGAGCAGATGCATGCTGGGAGAAGGGGTGATCTGGAGCGGGCAGAAGGGCTGGTTTCAGAAATATTTAAGAGAAAGAGTGAGGGACGTACGAGGCGGCGGCACCACCAGGACACAAACTCAGCAGTGAGTAACACACTAATTACAATTCGGCAACAAAGGTGAGCTGCAGGAGCAGAGGGAGGGAAGCTGGGTCCCTGCGCCGTGAGGAAGTGAAGCTCTCACCAGCTGTGACAGGAAGTCAACAGGTAAGAGTCAAGAAGTGACTGAGTTATTTCAACTGTGTTACTTTGATTAAAAAACAAGGTTAAAAATTAAGAGAAAATCATTTAAGACAGATATTTATTCCACAACCAAATTGCTGAAATTTAACTTAAATGTCTGAAACCCCCCAAAATGGGTATACTAAGCCAAAGACCTGCCTGCACGAACCTAGCACTCAGGAAAACAGAACCTAGCACTCAGGAAAAAGAGGTTTAGAAAATCCACCAAAGGAGGTCCATGCTGTCGGTACAGGGGCCCCGCCGGACTCATCAGGAGTGACGACAGACACACTCAGAGTTCAAACTATCAACGTCTCAACTTTTCAGCTGTTTACTTACATGATTTAAATGGCTGCTCTTCCTCTTTTCTCGCACTAAGAATAAAAAAAATCAACTGATCAATTCTGATTCAAATGCCACAGAATACAAGTAGTTGCTCATTATCTGATGCGAACAGATACTAATCTCCCAATATACAAAAGGAGACCCAGTTCCATCTGATTTTTAAAAATAATTTCCAGCAAAATTTATAACGTGAAATCATCTGGCAAAATGAACTCATGAAATCCAAAAACGTGGCTTGGTTTTTGTAACCTCACAGTCTCCTACACACCAATGAGAGATGCCCCTGCGTACAGAAGGAAAAGGGCAAAACCAGTGAGGCCAGATGAGAAATGGCGCTAACAGCTCGCGGGAGAATTCACCTGTTGTGCCTCTAAGCCCCCCCCCCCATTTACACACAGCTTACTTTAATCACCGGGACCTAACTGCCGACAGCCTAAGACCAAGCCCTAGATGCACCAGAATCCCTGGAAGCATCTGGAAACACTAATTGGTAGTGACTAACATGCTACCAAAAAAAGGGCCTTTATACAACTGGAAAGTAATCTGTGTTACATTTAAGTGTTAGCACTAGTGTGCTAACCCAACCCACTCATCATTTTATTCTAACAAAGGCCAGAAGAATAGCTCCCAGGAGGCTCTGGCTTTGTTTCTGTGCCACCTGCAGGCACCTCTCACCACCGGAGAGAGGGGCACGATGGCTTTTCTTTCACTGTGTCCACGTTCTGTGTGAGAAGCCCATGGCTCTGGAGGAAACCGGGAAATACAGCAATCCTAAGGAGAAAGGGTTGGCTCACCAGTCGAGTGCACACAAACTATGAAAATACAGGTTAGAAACCCTCATTTTTTGTTGTGCTGTGTTACTTCTAATATTACTATAGAAGCCCTCACTGCATGTATTCCTGCTGCTGGAATCAGCTAAGTTGGCTGCATGCGGTTTCTCAGCAAACAAAGCAGGATTCACCATTACGAGGAGGAAAGTAAGTAGGAGTACTAAAACGCCCTACAGTTCTCGGTCTCATCCTAAAACAAAAGTACACAGGGAATCTACATGTCACAGGCTGAGGCCACCCTTTGGCGAAACCCCACAGGACATGTTTACATGTACACTACATTAGGATAAAATGGTAAAAGCTTAAAAGCTCCGAGTAGCACAAGTCTGGATGTGACAGGCTCATGAGGGTAGGGCACTGTGCAAAGGGAGGTCAGTCGCCACAGATGAACAACTGCTGTTTAAAAGTTGTTCCAATGAAAACTGAGTTACAGCCGGGCTCGGTGGCTCAGCCTGTAATCCCACGCTTTGGGAGGCTGACGTGAGTGGATTGCCTGAGCCCGCGGGTTCGAGACCCGCCTGGGCAACTTGGCAAGACCTCATCTCTACAATAAATTAAAAAAAAATGAGCCGGGCATGGTAGTGCATGCCTGTAGTTCCAGCTACTCGGAAGGCTGAGGGGGAAGGATCGCCGGAGCCCAGCGGGTCAGGCTGCGGCGGCCGGGAGCGGCCACTGCACTCCAGTCTGGGCGACAGAGCGAGATTCCAACTCAAAAAAAGAAAAAAAGAAAAGAAAACTGAGCTGCAGCCTAAATCCTGTCACTCATCTTTAAAATGCACATTTTGGAGCAAGGGAAAAAGGCAAAGAAGTATGGAGAACTAAGTTTAAATCCATGACACTACTAAATCACGTGGCCAATTAAGCTGACGGAAAGGTGACAACATGTGTAAACAGAAAGTCTACAGGTGCTTACTAAAACAGTGACAACTAAAGGAAAGGATGTCACATATTAACATAAGACACGTGAATACAGCAAAAAGTTCAGGAATTTATGCTAACAAATAAATTCTACGTACTTTCTACAATACATCCGATAAAACAAACAGTTTTTGGCCTTTTCCTTGGAGGAAAAGAAGTATTTGTCTTACCGTCTGTCTGAGATTTGCTCAGGAAAATTGTGCTTGCCCTTGGGTGGTCAGAAGGGTTTGATTCCAAAGCAAAATCTACAGAGGAAGAAGAGGACAAGGATGTAATAGCTTAGGTGAGTAGCAAAGAAGGTGATTTTTAAAACAGCTACACGTCAGTTTTAGCCACGTCTAATAGTCTTGAGAAATGTTTTTGGTGATAAATATGAAGCAAAGAAAGGCAACAATATAAAAATTGTAGAATCTCTCCACACCTGTGGCCTAAAGCCTGGCTACGTCTGAGACGTTTGCTTGCTTTAACTTGTACCTAAATGACGGGATACAGTCTTTTTAGGTGACTCTCACCCAGGTCCTCCTCTTCCTGCGTCCCACACAGAAACAATGAGCCTCCTCTCTGCAGACAGGGTAGAGCACTGCAGGACCAGCCTCAAGCACAAGTGACACTGCAGCCCAAAGTTGTCACACCAGCGCCACATATTCAATGTGCCAAACCAGAGTTGTTTTGGCAAACATTCTTCAGACAATAAATGGCTAATTCTAGCTCATTCAGTCAGTTGTGATTTGGGGGCTCTTCAGCATGGAAGATTTAAGAAAACTGCACACAAGTTCAATGCTCTAACCTGCTGGAACACTCGTACGTCAGAAAGCGACTTTAACTTTTGCCCTCAGCTGCCAAGCTCAACCCGCACCTCTTCCCTCCTACGGCATGAGTCACTGGGGGCTTCATCAAGAGCACCTTTCACCGCAGGCCTCAGGTGCTTCTAAAATGCTTTGGCCCTACCTCTGTCAAGGCAGGTCTGCCCACAGTCCGCCTCACACCAACGGGCCTGCAAAACCCCAGAATTCTCTTGTAGGGGACAGGCCCTTGCGGTATATTCGGAATTTGTTCCCCTGGATCAAACGGTCACCTGAAGTTTTTGTCTGGACGCTCTGAGACAGTTGTCTCATGATTTGCGGAAGAAAACGCTCCTTGTTGTGACAACCAGGTGACTAGTTCTTCTACCATGACATCTCATCTGCACACACCACTGTGTGTTCAGCTTTTTTTTGTGAGTTGGAGTCGCACGCCGTTGCCCAGGCTGGAGTGCAGTGGCACACTCAAGGCCACCCTGGCGTGAACTTGCTAGGCTCCAGCAAGTCTTTCACTTCAGCCTTCCAAGCAGCCAGAACTACAAACACGCGCTACCACACCCGGCTGATTTTTTACTTATTACAGAGATGAGGTCTCGCCAAGTTGCCTGGGCTGGTCTCCAACCTATAGGCTCAGGCAATCCACTCGCTCAGCCTCCCCCAGGGCTGGGCCACCGAGCCAGCCTGTTCCACATTTTTTGACCCAAAACATCATGACCCCATGCCTCACCCTTCTGTTCACCTGATCTCGCCCAAAGCAACTTTTTTTTGGTTTCCCTGATGAAAAAGTCCTCAAAGGGAAACGTTTTGCTGATGTGGAGGAGGATAAACAAAAAATGGCAGAAGCACCAAAAGGCGTCAAAATCAACGACTTTTAACAGTGGAAAAAGTCTCTCAACAGGTGGACGGCATCAAATGGAGAGGGCTTTGAAGGTGTCAAGCTTAAACATGTAAAGACAAATACACAATTTTTTATAAATAAGTTCCAGGTGTTTTGGGATCCACCCTTGTACAGTTAGAATCCTGGAGGAACATACCATGGGGCTTCCTGGTTTCGCAGGAATCAGAATCATCCATTTTAACAATACTGTCAGGTTATCAGCAACTTAACTCACTCCTTTGTACTCCATGGAAATTCATTCATTGATTCAAAGTTTATTATATTGCTTTTGGAGAAAACTATTCTTACGTAAAAGACCCACACAATAATTATTTTTAAAGTTTTTTTCACATCTTTGAAAAAATGAGACAATGTTAGCTATTTAGCAAAATAAAATGATTTGTGCACTAAGTGACAGGCAGAGGCATTCATAGTTGCCTTTAATCTAAAGCTTCTGAAAGGATTCATGATTACTTCCTACAAAAAAAGTAAATATACTAGCATTTGCACCTAAAAATGAGTAATGTTTGCAGAAGCAGCCATGTTATAATAAAGTTTAAAGTACCAGAATCAAAGAGGAGCAGGCTCAAAAAATACATGCACGCAAACCTCCAAAACCAAAATGTGCCGCTATGTGCTTAAATACAAAGACCAAGGAGGCTAGGATAAAAGAAATGACAACACACAGGGACAAAGAAAGCAAAGAGCCCAAGTAACAACTGACTCCCCAGGCCGGGGGCTTTGGGGTGGGCATGGGGCCCAGGGCTGGCCTGTCAATCACAGCTGTCCTAGGACTTCCCAAGACCAGAGAAGGCAGGAGGACCTTCACCGGGCAGGGGCTGCCAGCACTGCCTTTGCCACCAGAAGGGAGTCTTTCCAGGAGTGATCAACAGAGAAAGGTAGGACTGAGACAGGTCTCGAGGAGCCACTTCGACTCTGGGGTCAAGGGACCTAACTGACTCCACGAATTCCCTGCTTATGCAGGTCAGATTTTTGTTTAACTGTTTTGAGATAGATTTTCTTGAACTCGCAACTTAAGAGGGCTGGTTAAGCAGGAGCACACTCATGGTCACACAGAAGGTGGGATGGGCACACGTTTCTTGTTCACTCTAACAAATATCTTAGCATGAAAACAGAAATTTACAAGAGCCAAAAAATAATGCCTTGTTTACAAATAAACCCATAAACTCACAACCCATCACTTTTGGTTGCTTTTCTTATGCATGTTTTTTAAAATAGTTCTAATCAGTATATAACTTATAACCTATTCTCTCACAAATGTTCACCCCATTAGAGAATATTTAGTGTGATCCTAAATTTTACTTAGTTAGTTCCCTATTGTTGGAAATTTAGGCACTTCCAAAGTTCTGGCCTTGTGAGGAAAACCTTCATGTATATCGCATTTTTTTTTTTTTTTAGTTGGAGTCTCACTCCATTGCCCAGACTGGAGTGCAGTGGCATGCTCACCGCCACCCCAGCGTCAACCTACTGGGCTCTGGTGATTCTTCCACCTCGGCCTTCCAAGTAGCTAGAACTACAGGCGCATGCTACCACACCCAGCCAATTTTTTGCTTTATTGTAGAGATACGGTCTGGCCAAGTTGCCCAGCCTGTTCTTGAACCTGTGGGCTCAGGCAATCCCCTCATCTCGGTCTCTCAAAGTGAGTATTTAAAAATTATTTTTAAAAGTTCTTAGGAAAGAGTTTCAAAGTGAGTTAACTAGATCAAGAGGTCAAATTGTTTTCATGGCTCAATACACAGGGCTAAGTTCTTCCTAGAGAGAGTAAGGGCATATTAGGACATAATGCTACCTATTATACTAGTTTCAGCTTCCACTCCAGCTTTGGATATGTTAAAAAAAAAAAATGTCCTACTGATGTGGATGAGGGGTAGGTATCACTGAGGCTCTAACTTGCATTTACTTATTTGATGACACTGTTTGACCATTTTCCCGTAGTTAGCAGTGGTATTCCCACCTTGGTGAGTTTTGTATAATTTATATATACAAGGGGGGAACAACAACAACAAAAATCAGAAATATTACTTTGGAGAGTGGCCGCTTGTAGTATCGGCTTCTCCCACTAGGTAAATGTTCCAGGAATCCATCAGCATCACTGTACTAGCTAGCATTGTTTTGAGAGGCTGCATTCAACTTCAGTGAATTTTTTTTTGGCAAACAGGTGACTGGTTCTTCCACCAAGACAATGCAACTGTCCACACTGCACTGAGCATTTAGCAGATTTGACAAAAAACCATCTCTATTCACTTTATCTCACCCCAAGTTAATTTTTGTTTTTGTTTCCCTGGAGGAAAAGAGTTCTCAAAGGGAAACGTTTTGCTGATATGGAAGAGGTGAAACAGTAAACGGCAGACGCACTAAAAGCCATCAAAAGTGATGTGTTCAGCCGGGCTCGGTGGCTCAGCCTGTAATCCCGCGCCTTTGGGAGGCTGAGGTGAGAGGATTGCCTGAGTCCGCGGGTTCGAGAC